GTGTATGTATGCTATTTCTGTCCCTGGTCTCAGTGTAATTTAGTATTGAGTAACTCACAATAGTAAAAGTAAGAAAACAAAACAAAACAATAACAACAAAAACTCAAAGAAATAAATGGGAGAGATGAACAAACACACAGAAACAAACAAACAAGAAACAAAACAAACAAACACAACAACAAAAACAACTCCAGGTTCAGGAACAATAAAATTTCAATCTTAGCAGTTCTGGTGTTACTCCTTCAGCATCCAGCCCTGGTGTTGGTATTTAAGCAGAGATTCTGTCTTAGTCTTCTCAGGTGGTTGGGAGTCTCAACAGTTTTTCTTCTGTCTTCAGCAGCAGCTTAATCAGAGCCTCCCTCAGTGAGGTGTGGCAGTTTGCATTTGTATATTGTCCTCAGGTTCCAGAGATCAGCTCTGTAGCCCACCTGCCGTCCTTTGGAGTTGGGTTTTCACTGTGTTGGTTTACAGGGGGTTGGTTTCTTTGTCTCACTCACTTTCTCTGGGGCAAGGTCAGTGATCTGTCAGCTTGCCCACTGCTGTCAGTGTGTTGTGATGGTTTGCTGATTATTTTTCAATTTTTCACGGTTGCTTTAGTTTGGATGTTGCTCACTGGCTCAGAAGATGAGCTTTGTGGACAAATACCTGCCCTATTTCAGGCAGTGGCTTATCATTGGCCCACTGTCAGCCCTATGCCTTTCCAGCCTTTGTTTACTGAAAGTTCATATGAAGATCAGCTCCTTCTCCCTTCCCCCTTCTCCAGTGTGCTTACAGCACCCCACCCTGTCTGCTGTGTGGTAGTTCTCAGTTCCTTGTTTATTGTTCATTTTGTTTTATTTTGCAAGGTGGAGGGTCAGTCTGCCCGGGGGGCTATGCTGGCTTATCCCAGGATGGCTGTGGGAATACTGTGTGATGCTTGGTGCTCACATGTTGGCCTGCCAAATGTCTCCCAAGCAGGTTTTCAGCTGGCATCTGGCAGTGGCAGCAACCCTAATGTTGTCTCAGTGTAACATGGCCGGAGAAGCTTTCCACAGGCTAGGGTTCAGGGTGTCAAAGTTTTGATTCTTGGTGCTTTATTTCTGCCAAGTGTGGCTCCAGCATCTCAGCAATATTTTTGATTTATGGACCTCACACTGTCTGCTTCTGTGCCCTAGTTGTCATCTTGGATCCAATGGTATATTTTTCAATCTATTTTATGATATATCTAGAAAAGTCACAGCTCAACTCTATCCTATCCTCCAACAAGTCAAGCACACATTTTTTTCTCATCAAACTAACTTTTAAAGTCAAGAACAGGTCTTATACCAAGTCCTTTCAAATTCCATGCAAAGTTCACATGTTTAGGAATCCTGCTCTGACACAGCAGCCTGCACTCACGTGGGTCTATCCACTTCTTTGTCAAATATCAAGCAGTGGCTCAAAGCTCAAAATAAGTTGGCATACTTGCATAAGTAAGCGTAAAAATAATTATCTCTTCATACTCAATCTTCTATCTGACTGCACTCAGAAAGGGTTTTCCTAAAAATTATTTTTTCAATGGGCACACAAGCATGGTTATATAAGAAAGGATAATTTCTGGACTTCTGCACAGACCAGGTACTACTTGTTTACAATGATATATACTTCAAGAGTCAGCATAAGACAGGAGCCCCAATGTTCAAAGCATAAGGTAACAATTGGAAGGTAAATGGTTATTACCCTTATGTATTTTCAGTGCACACTGTATACATGCATTGACTTGTCACAGAGTACACACAATATGTGTAATTATTCTGTGTTAAACTTTTTTTAAATGCTTGGAAATGTTAACAGTCCTAATTTGATAATTACAGACTATATACAAGTAACAAAATATTATAAGGCACTCCATACACTTGTATAATTAGAATAGTTATTTAAATAAATTAGTTTCTGGCTTGAAAAATTTGTCAAAGACACTTTTGTCTATGACATAATATCACATACACACACAAAGAAATATACTCCAGCTGAGCAAAAGGGTGATGTCTTAGAGATTGTACTTCAAAACAAATGCCTATGAGAGAAAGAAAAGCAAATACAAATGACCAATTTAACATTGAAAAAATTTCTACCCCAGCCTTAATTTAACCTAAATATAATAGAGCAAATAAAACACAATTAGAAAATTAGAAGTTTGAAGTATTATTTTAATAAAATCAGGAAAGGTGTGATTTTACTCCCTAAGTGATGGTTGATGTGGGTCTTTTTAGTGTGGTTGATCATTTCTAAGTCTCCACTGAGCCTCAGGATAGGAAGCATTACTCTCACTCTTGTGCTGTCCCACTGACTGGATCAAAACTGAGCTGGCACCTCAGGGCGCTAGGATCCAAGACAGCCTCTTCAACAAATGCTGTTCGGAAAACTCCATATCCAGACATGGAAGACCCAAACTAAGTTCCTATTTCACATCCTGTATGAAAATCTATTCAAAATGGATCAATGATCTTTATGTAATACCTAAAACTGAAATTGCTCCAGGAAAATTCCTGAAGATATAGGCATATGTACTAAATTTCAGAATAAGACTCCAGTTGGTCAGGAACTAAGAGTAAGAATGGCAAATGCATTCATATTAGGTCAAAAAACATCTTCACATCAAAGGAAAAAATTATTAGAACAAAGAGGCTACCTATGAAATGGAAGTAAATCTTTGCCATGTATTCAATGGACAAGAGATTAATATTCAGAAATATAAACCCAAAAATCAAAAATAATATAATACATATAATACATTGGCAAAGGAATTTAACATAGTTCTCAGAAGAAATCAAAATAGCAAACAAATTCATAAAGAAATGTTCACCGTCCTAAGCTAGCAAATCAAATTGACATTGAGGGATTCTAACCCTAGTCAGAATGGCTATCATGAAGAAACAGCAAATTTTGGCAAAAATGGCAGGGTGTGGTGGAGAGAAAACCATATGCACTCTAGAAGGGAATGTCAATTACTGCTTACAAGTATGGAAATCAGTATGGAGTTTCTCCCAAATCTGAAAATAGAACCACCTTTTGATCCTGAGACAACACTCTTGGGTATACATACAAAGGAATATAAGTCAACATAAAAGAGAGATGCCTGCACACTCAAGTTTACTGCGGCACTATTCACAATATCCAAACTATAGAAACAGCCTAGGTGCCCATGATTTGATGAATGGATGTAGAAAACGTGGTATAAACATACTATGTAATGTTATTTAGCCATAAAGAAGGATGAAATTGTCATTTGTAGAAAAATGAGTAGAACTGGATATAGAAGCTAAACAATGAAGACTCAGAAAGATAAATATCATGATTTCTTTCATATTTTGAATCTAAACATGAAATAAAGAAGGATGAACCCAAAAGGGATGCTGTGGAGGGGACCATCAGAAGGTGGGCGGGGAAAATACAGAGAGAGAATATGATGGATGTACATTATGTGAAAATATCAAAAGCTCTTAATGAAAATTATGTTAAAAACTTGCAAGAAAGTTTCAAAAGGGATTGGGTCTAGGGGGATAAGAAAGAATCATGGAGGTGGTAAAAATTTTTTTTGTTTCTTTAAAAATGACATTTGTATTAAAAATCTTAAAATGAAGAGACAATGATTAAGCAAGTGGAATTAAAAATTACAATTTGTTAGAATATTCTTGGTACATCACAACAGCAAAACTTTGCTCTTTACTTCTGGAGGAACACCCTATAACAGATAATCAAAACATTTTTTTAAAATAATATGAAAAGGGAGCTAAAATACCTGAAGGTGGAACAAAATGAAGCAAAAAAAAAAAAAAAACCATTGCAAGACAAGGACATTGAGTTTTAAAGGCTAAAAATAATAAAGAATTTCATTAAACAGCAGGCCCTATTGTCCTGACTCCTTCAGGAAGAAAACTGGGAAGTGGTTGGGTTGGGGGAACAGCAGATTATGGGATTTGGTGGGAAGTTCACAGGTTGGCACCAGCTGGAACAGCTGAGTTTTGAAGGCACGCTGCAGACACAGGGGTGCTGGGGGCCCTGAATCACATTTGAGAAGTCTTTGTACTGTATTTTTAAAAGCTAGTCAGTAAAATGTTACTGCTAACCAAAAAAAAAAAAAAAAGCTAAACTTAAAAAAACACACAACAGTACACACAACAATGTGCAGGTCTGTAACATTTTTTTCACAGCTGATTAAAAAAAAATACTACCGTTCTCCCCCAGACTCCCCTTTGACACAGTAGGTAAACAAAATAGATTTTTTTCCCACAAATATCAGCAGACACTTTCTGGCAACCCACTCTGTACTGGCATCAGTGTTAACAGTCCCAGTTCAGATGTGCAATACTTCATGTTGGATATACTGTAACAAGAATCCAACTTTGCATAGACATCCTCAAATCCCAATCAGTCACACACAGGGTTGCCCTTCTAAGCTGGCAGAAAAGGAACCCGATCTTAATTTCCAGCTACTCCTGGAAAACAAGGGAAAAAGCAAAAGTTTCTTCTCCTCCTCCTGCTCCTTCATATGGTTTTCCTGACCTTCCTTCCATGTATTTAAAACTTCGAACTAGAAAATGAGTGAGTGAGAGCGAGACTGAGACAGAGAGAGAAAGAAAGAGAGAGAGAACACCCAACCTTCCTCCTCTCCACTTCTCCCCTTCCCCATCATTTTTTCCAGGCTTGAAACTTTTTGATCGCCGGGTGTCAAGCTGCCAATACAGCGCCTTCACGGCTACTTGCACGGGGAAATATGCGTTGACCGAAATCAACGAGAAACGTACATGCTGCAAAGACCCACTTTTCCACCAGGGTTTCGGATGGTCAGGACGGGACACCCCCTCGGACACAGGGTGAAGCCAAGGGATCCTGGCCACGGAAGCCAACCCGGTTCCTGGGGCATCCCGGCCAATGCAAAGTCGTCTCCAATCTCAAAGCAAGAAAAGAAAGCACATGAAGAGAGTCGGGTGCGTTTGGCTTTTGTGCGCAGAGCATGGCAAGCGGCGGCTGCCAGCGCCTCAGAGGATCACGCAGGCTGAGCAGCAGCCCTCATCGCCGTTGGACTGCGCCGCGGAGTTCATCTGCTGCAAGATCTCGGCGAACAGCTCGTCCACCGAGGCTGTGTTTTTGGCCGAGGTCTCCATGAAGGGGCAGCTCCACTCCTCGGCTAGAGCCTTGCTCTCGCCGTAGGACACGTCGCGCTCGCCCTCCAGGTCCACCTTGTTGCCCACCAGGATCATGGGGACGCGCTCGTACCGCTTCACACGGATGATCTGATCCCGCATCGGCTTGATGTCCTGGAAGCTCTGCTGGTTGACCAGGCTGTAGACGAGGATGAAGCCCTGGCCGTTCTTGATGTACAGGTCCCGCATGGACGCGAACTGCTCGGTGCCCGCAGTGTCCAGGTTCTCCAGCACCGACGGCGGCGAGTCCACCTCGATCTCCTTGCGGTAGAAGTCCTCGATGGTCGGCTCGTACTTCTCGATGAAGGAGCCGGTCACGAACTGCACGGTGAGCGCGGACTTGCCCAGGCCGCCCGAGCCCAGCACCACCACTTTGTACTCGCTCATGGCTCCGTCGGCGCTCGCACCACGCCTGCCGCGGCCCCGTCGGGGCTGCGTGCCTGGGAGGACTGGGCTCGGCGGGTGGGCTTCACCCCTTCCTCAGCCACGCAGGAAAACCCTGGAGCGAGTGGCCCCCGAGAGCGCACGGCGCCCAAGTCACCATGCTGCCAGGCCGGCAGCGGGTGCGTGGCACGCGGGTCCGGGGCCCCGCAGCAGTCCGCGGCGGTGGCAGCGGTGGCGGCAGAAGCAACAGCCTTGGCGGCGGACCCTGAGGACAATGCCGGCCCGAGCGAGGCGACGGCGGGAGCTCCTGGCCGCGGCAGCCCGGGAGAGTGGGGAGGCGAGGCGGTGGCGGCTGGCTGCGGAGGCGGCTGCTAATTGCGCGCTGGCCTGAGTCCCCGCGGAACGTGCACCCACCCGCTGCGGCCCATCGCGCTGTCCCCCGCACCCTCCGCCGGCCGGAAGGAGGTGGTAAATATGACCAGAGTACATTATAAGCATGTGTGGAAATGTCACAATGAAGTGCCTCATTTGCATAATTAATATGCACTGGTTAAATTAACTTTTAAAAAATTAGGACTATGGCTAAGGACCACACATGGAAACATCCAAATCTGATGGCATATGATGAGCGAGGAATAGATGTGAGACACAGACATGGTCAATAGGTGACAGACATGCAGGTCAGTGGTGGCTCTGGAGCTTAACCAAGGAAAGTGGAGGATGGGTCAGCAGCTGCAGCAAGGTACAGAACAGGGAGAAGTGCTTTGGGGAAAATGAGGTTTGGGTCACCTAGACCTCAGTAAACTGATGCCATGTTCAGGGTGAGGTCATGAAACATTTCTAAGTCTTGAAGGCCAAGTGTCCAGTTTAATTGGGAAGCAGTTTTTAATTGGCAAAATCAAAATTCTTCTTTTAAAATTTCAGTGAGAAATATTTCCATTTCTTTTGTTGTTGTTGTTGTTGGGGTTGGGGTTTGAAGTGAGGCTTCACACTTGCAAAGCACATGCCCTGACACTTGAGCCACACCTCCAGTTATTTTACTCTTGATTATTTTGGTGATGGTGTCTCTGGAACTGTCTGCTGAGGTTGACCTCAAACCACAATCCTCCAGATCTCAGCCTCCCAAGCAGCTAGGATTATAGGCCCTCAGCCAATATTTCCATTCTTACTAATTTAATGCAGCACAGCCTTTGGATACATATTGAATAAATACATATTGAATAAATGTGCAGCATCTAATTTCACCGTAACTCTTTCTCAGTCCTTCATTAAATTTAATCAGAATAAACCAAGTGAATAAATTACTTTTGTTTTAAGGTCCCCTCTGCAATGATCCTCAGATGACTTCTGTTGTTTCTTACTCTTGGTATTTCTTAACATTAACATTTTATTTATGACTACCCTGTACCCACACTTCAATGCAGACAGTCTCACTAGATCCACATCTGGAAGAGCATATGATAGTTAGATGTGGTGGGGAACATTTTGAAAGACAGTTTCTCCAAAAGGTATAAATAAAGCCAAGTGAGATGATGACATGGCTCCAGCCCACACTCACAGTCACTTACTGACTGTGTGTCTATCTCCAGGTGCCTTTTCTACCCTTTATGAAAGATAATTCCACTTCCACATTTTGCCAGGACAGTTATTATGTGAGTGTGAGTGAATTTCATGACACCCCCTTGTTTTTCTCTCTCCCTGGCTTCTAGAACTATTTTTCTTGGGCAGGGAAAACACATATGGTGGAGTCGCTTTTCTCTTCCTCTTCTTTCCTGCAGAAATTTCTGGTGGCCACAAGGCTGTCTCAGGGAAGCAGGGTTAAATAAACTCCCCATCAGTTTTATTTTGTGAATTAGCAAAATTTGACATTCTCCAGGTTGGTATATCCAGTTGTTTCTATAATTGCCCTAAGATGGAAATAGTCCAGATTTATTTCATTACTGAATGAGTTAACAAACTATGAACATCCACAAAATGAAATACTTATTATCAAAAACAATAAGCCATTTATTCATACAACAACATGGATGATACTTAAATGTACTATGTGAGCAAAATCCAGATCCAAAATGTAAATCTATGTTATGATTCCACATATTCACATTTCAGAAAAAGCAAAACCTAAAGGGATAGGAAACAAGTCGGTCATTACCAGTAGTTGAGATTTTGGGAGGGACTGAGGACAGAAGGATAGTATGGAAATTCATGGTGGTGAAATCATACTTTGTTTGATAATAGATACATAACCATATCCTTCTGTCCAAGTCCAGCCAGTATACCATGTACTCACAGCTAGTTAATGTTAAATCTTCAGTGATCTGTGATGGTTTTATGAAAATATTTACTCTGATTCAGGGCTGACCATAAAGGCATACAAACTTTATTAAATGTTACTTTTACATTTGTAATAACATCTGTTATTGTTATTACAGATGAACCACATATCCACACTGAAAAGCCACAAAGAAAGTGATTCATTAGCTTCATTTAAATAACATTATTTTGCCTGGATATTGTGAGGCTAAATACAGAAAAGTGTAGAAATGTGAAATTCTTGTTACAAAATTGGCCACTGACTTCATTCTGAAATTATAGGTGTACTAGTATTGACAAATACAGTAGGCAAAAATATGATTCATTTCAGGATATGATTTCATTTATTGCCAAGTTGATCAATAGATTTAATGAAATTTCAATCAAAGTAAGAATCAATGAGATTCATTTACAATATTGACAAGCTGATCCTAACATATGTATGGAAATGTAAAGCAAAAGATAAAGAATATAGCCCACCAACGAAATTAGGCCTTCTATCTGTTTTTGTATGGTCCAGCAGCTAAGCCAAGAACTGATTTCACATTTTAAAATTTTTCAAAAAATAATTGTGGCCAGTAAAATCATATGACACTAAGATTTTGATCCTCATAAATAAATGTTTGTTGGAGTACAGTTATGCTCATTTATTGTTGGTGACTGCAAGAGTGGATCTGAGTTGTAAAAATACAGACCTTATGATCTGCAAGGTATAGAATGTTTTAGCAGGTTATAGAAAAATAATACCTAGCACATTATAGGAAAAAGTTCTAGACTCCTGTTTTATACCATAGCAAAATAAGAACACAGTTAGAGGACTAGCACTTCCTGATTTAAGACTGCATTAACAAAACAATGTGGTGGTGGTAGAGAAACAGAGAGATCAGGAATTCAGAAATAGGCCCTTAAAATATGCTTCTAAGATTTTTTAAAACAACAAATGTGCAAAGACAGTTGAATACTTTTTTTCAGCAAATGTTGTTGGAAATGGACTGGTTTTCTAAAAACTGAATCTTAGTCAAAATTACATATCTTACAGAAAGGGAATCCAAAATGGATCAGACATAAATACATAATCTAAAGCTGTAAAGAAGAAATAAAGAAGAAACATTGAAGAACATCTTCTTGGCTTTGTGTTGGCAGAACTCTTAGATTTGATAACAAACTATAATTTATAAAAGAAAAATTAGTAACATCATCAAAATTTAACTTTTTTCTACATGGACACTACCAGAAGAATAAGAAACCTACAACCAGAAAATGGGAGAAATATATTTACAAATCACGTATCTGACAAAGCACTTATTTCTAGAATATGCAAGAATTTCTGACATTCCACCACGATAAAACAAATAAGCAAAAGCCAAGCGCAAAAGATTCAAACATATATTTTGCCAAGTGAACACCGATGCCAAAACACATGAAAAAATGATCAGTATTATTAGTAATAGGAAAGTGCAAATTTTAACTACATGGTGCTGCTCTCACACACTTGTTACAATGATTAAAATTCAAAAATATTAACAACGCACAATTCTGGCCATGGTGGGGAGCAATTATAGCTATGTAGCATTGATGTGGAAAATGCAAAATGACACAGCCCTTCTGGAAAACATTCTGGAATCTTCTTGTAACATTAACCATACAATTCCCAGTAAACATTATTAATGAGAGGGAAGAGAAAGACCAGAAAGGCTCAAAAGGAAGAAGTCATTGGAGGTGTTGGGAGTGTTTTGTAACCTGTGAAGTGGCTGTGAAATCTATGTATGTGTTAAAATCAGTAGAACCATGTACCAACTCAAGTAAATATCAGCGTATACATATGTATATAGATATATATGGATATATACAATATTATTAAAAAGCTTCAGAAGCTTGATGACATGGATAATTTCAATAATGACAAATGCTGAATTCTTCCTCTGCTTGTAGCATGCTCCATGGTGATGACCCTTGAGTTACCTGCACATTTTCCTCCCTATTGGAAGTTGGAAGCAGCCATTCCACTTTCATTCATGGTTCGTGGAGCTTACCCTTCCCCATTGCTATGACTTTCCCTTCATCCCATCTGATAGTCCTTTAGTAGAATACATCGTCTCCAGTTATTTTCTTTCCAAAGGTTCATTTGAGATATCTTCGAGAACTGAGAATGAAGCAAACTTGTTGTTTTCATATGCTTTAGTTAGTGACAGACAAAACAGTTCAGCGAATAGGAACCATTTAAAACTACCAAGTAATGGTCACGTGGAAACCCTTGTGACTTTTTTAAATCTCTCTTTAGAATTTCATACATCTTTGCAGTAGAGGACCTCAGGCAATATCAGCCATGATTGCACTGAACAGCAATCGAAGGGAGATCTGATGAATAATAAAAGAAAAATGAAAAAAAAAAAAAGAAGGGAGATCTGTGCTCATCTGAGTTCTGTGGTAGAACTTCACTTCAGTATTTTCCAGTTTTAACTTCCTGTCCAATTTTGGGACTGCAGTTAGAAGAAATCATTTGAATTAGGCAATCAGGGCTCACCACGCAGGCGCGGGGCCAGACGCCTCGCGCGTCCAGGGGCGGGGGACCTCAGAGCAGCTCCGGCCACGGCTTCGGTAGCAGCGAGTTCGAACCCCACTCCCACTGCCCTTCGGTTCTTGCTTCCTCGGCTCTTGGGCCTTCCGACGCCAGTTCCCTAAGCTCGTTG